TGAAAAGCACATATTTGGATTTTTTTGTAACGACAGAATTGAAGGGGTGCAAACAGGAGCTTGTAAACAACGCAGAAGTTTCTCAGTTTTAAGATTTTTGCTCATCGTTTCAACTGCATTACAGTCCATTTTTCTAATGTGTATCAAGCAAATACAGCAACAAGCAGCTACTTTACAGTAAAAGATGGTTAATTACTCATCATATAATCTTAAGATAAACTGCTCAGTGAAATCAATAAAATCATTTTACAAATGAAACCATTGACGAGGTTGAAATGTTTTGTTCTGAAGCCGTTGCGTAAAGTTTTCCATTAGTGAAAGAAAAAAATTGATGCTTTTTATATAAACATGTTTTTGTAGAGTGTTCCAGTTATGATGAAACCTGTTATGGAAGTGATAACCGATTGAAACATCTAGTAGTTTACAGTAGAAATAGGAAAAGGAAGATTACTGACTGTAATTTGTTCTCACTGTGTGTTTAACTGTACTTTTGATTGATCAGATAGTCTGATTGGGGTTTTTTTGGAGGGGGGCAGGGGCATCACTGATACACTGCTTCAGTTATCTGTCCATTTTATAACATTTTGTGATTTAAAATAAATTGTTTTCAATTTTTTGATACCTGCGTCCTTGTCTCATCACTGTTGTTACTGGAGTTTGATCATCAGTGTGGACCATTTTAGTACTAAAGAACACATTCTGTCGAAGTGTAGTTTGTATTTTCCTCAGTTGTTTATTATCTTTAAATATGGCTGGAGTTGTGTGTTCATATTTCTCTCCAAGTGTGTGAACATTAAGAAATGTTATTTTTGAGTCAGGCCAGTTAGAGACCTCCAGTTAGAAGTTGTATGATTGTAAGGTTTATCTACATATTTCACAGAGATAACAGAACAAGGCAAATGTGTATCTGGAGTATTGATTCAAATGACAAAGAGCTTTGCGAGTATAATTACCCCCTGGTGGGCACTGATGAAGCACGGGGATTAGAGTCAGATAGCTTCACCAAAGGGGGAGCCTGACACACATCTTAGAAAGCAGCCGACAGTCCTTGTCTGAGTGCTAAACACACGGGCGATATAAAGTATTTAATTTCAATTTTGCTAAAGTAAAACATTTGTGAGTTTTCGTTGCACTATAAAATGCAAGTAATAATAATTTACCATAACCTTTCAAGTAAGAATTACAGGAGCAGTTTGAGTTTGTCTCTTCAGTTTTTCCTGTTTTAACATTTTGTATGCTTTCCTATATCAAGCACATTCTGCTGCTGCTTTACTGGGAATATTTTTTTCACCTAACATTAAGTGACTAGTCATATTACAGTATAAAAACAGACTATCTTACAAATGAAACAGTCATTCTGAGCTGGTTTTAATCTAAAACAGCTCCGGAGAGGTTCAATTATCAAAGGATCAATTCTTTACTCATTAAAAGTTTGGTTTCAGTGAAGTTTGGGTCATTTTTACCTTTTATTTTCTTTCTTCCCATAACATCAAACAATGTTATGATAGGGGAAATGGTTTAAAACATCTAGCTTACAATTGATGCAGTATGACAAAATAATATTTCTGTCCCATTTTGATAAAATGTTGCTGCAGTAACACATTCTAGAGTTTTTAGCTGTACTGTAAAACCTCAAATAACAATATAAACACTGTCTGAAAAACAAAAGCAGTAAAGCAGTTGTAACAGGAATGATGAAAAATCAATACCCAGATGAGTGAAACCCAATAAGTCACAATAAAAAAACAAAAAGGAAGATTTTAAAAAGATATTTTTACAGACATTTGAAGAAAATCAATAATTTTTAACAACATAAAGGCTCATTTGGGCAACATTTCTGCTGTAATTTGCAAACAAATCAAAAGTTTTAAAAGTGATTGGAAAAATCTGAAAATCAATTATGAAACATACAGAAAGCCACTGCAGAGAACTGTGATTGGAATGATTCGACCCTAAAACCAGCAAGAAGCTTTACTGCTGCATTTCAAACTGTTTAAAGACAACAAACCAAAAGGAGAAGAAAAAGTATGAACAAGGTCAACGTTAACACTTTCGTAGCATGTACTTTTAAAATAACAGTTCAATATCTGCGGTTCACTGATAAGTTTTGTTGTGTAAATTAGTGCTCACTGTTAAAAATCATGTCCACTCAGAATTATCTGTATTTTAAACTTCCTGGTGATCACCTCATCACTCCTGCTAATGTGCCCTAACCAACTGAAACCCCCCCTCACACCTACAGAAAGAGGCCGCTCCCGCTTGAAGTTTCATGACACAATGAGGGTGATCAGTCTGAACAACTCTGTATTGATATGGAGCAAAAACTGCTGCGGGACAGAGACAGCCTCAACCACCCAAATACAATACAATCAGAAGTGGGCTTTCACCATTAGTACTCTGTGACAATACAACGTGTCAATTATTTGACACCTGCATGGCTTTTCAGTCTGTCACCAAGCACATCTGTTTTTTATTAAGAGGATTAAGGATTAAGAGGTCCCAGCATTCCCTGCCTGGATATTAGCAGAGAAGTGGGTACAAAAAATAAATAAATAATAAAAAAGAAAATAAAGTGGTACGCTGCAGATGACCTCTCAACAGGAAATATGGGGTTTGTTTTTGACGTGTTAAAATTGACCTTTTCACCTTTTATATTAAGGGGAAACCCTTAAGAATATTGGCCAAATTACCAGATTTAATTTTAAATAAAAAACGGAGCAATTTTATCTTTCACCACTGACTGAAAACGCTGTAATGGAACCTGATCTACATCATTTAATGATTCAATTTGGGATTTTTTTTATAAAACCTTTTTTGTATCAATGTGCTCCAAAATAGTGGTGTGCAATAAAATTGTTATGTGACCCCTTAAAATACATGTACTCACGCACACACACACACACACACACACACACACACACACGCACACACACATATATATAGTAGGGTGGCTGTGGCTACAATGTAGCTTGCCATCACCAGTGTGTGAATGTGTGTGTGAATGGGTGGATGACTGGATATGTAAAGCGCTTTGGGGTCCTTAGGGACTAGTAAAGCGCTATATAAATACAGGCCATTTACAGGCCATATATATATATATATAAAACCTAACCCAGGTAGGATTAGGTTAACAGAAATACACCGCCCATCTGTGAACTAAGGTGTAGGTCTATTAGGTTATGTTGTGGTGCCTCGGGTTGGGGGATGGGTGTTCATACTGGAGTGCAAAATTAAAACCAATGGAAGATGGACAAGAAAAGTTCAAAGCCATCAGGTGCTCAGTTTAGAAAAAAGAGAAAAGAAGAGGAGGAGAAACGAGCAAAAGATACAGGTAAGCAGATGTGTCATTGGATAATGGCAGGTCATCCTGAAACAATCAGAATCAGAATACTTTATTAATCCCTAAGGAAATATGTGGGTTACAGTTGCTCCAAGAAGAAATGGTAAAAATAGTAACAGTAACAGACTAAACTCCAAACAATACATTATCTTACAGATTTTACACATTTAAGAAATAGCACTAATATATACAGATCACTCAGTTCTAAATATCAAGGATTAACAAAGGTGATTATAAATAAATATCAAGAAAATTGACAAGAATATTCCAGAGTAGAAAAGAGCGCGTGTAAAAAGGGTGTAACTATTGCAGGGTTCACAGTGTGTTAGATGGAGGAGTTGTACAGGGAGATGGCCACAGGCAGGAATGATTTCCTGTGTCGGTCAGTGGTGCTTTTTGGTAATCTCAGTCTCTCACTGAACGTACTTCTGTGACTAGCCAGCATGTCATGTCATGGAGTGGGTGGGAGGTATCATCCAACATTGTCTTTATCTTGGACAACATCTGCCTCTCAGACACCACCCTAACGGAGTCCAGCTCCATCCTCACAACATTACTGGCCTTGCGGATCCGTTTATTTAGTCTGTTGGCATCTGTGACCCTCGACCCGCTGCCCCAGCATGCAACAGCATAGAAGATAGCACTGACCACAACAGAGATACAACAAGATAACATCAATTAGTAGGGATAGTGAAGTGTCACTTGGCTATGATTTTAAAAAGTAGACACTGATGTAGCATACTGAATCTTCTCTGGTGAAATTCAGTATGGTTCCGACAACAGTTTTATGTTAATGTACAATCATTAATATGTTTTATGTGTGTGTGTGCTGTGTTGGGCAAACTTTGATTAAATTGAGGAGGACTGACATGATATTGTTTAGCTTTTGAGCACCTATTCAGGAGAAGTTTCACTCGTCATCCAAGGAAGATGATCAACCTCTTTGGTCATTTGGCTTGATCATGTCAAGTGTCAATTAAGTCAGGTGATTAACTAGATTGTTATTCCTCCTACAGCATCATCTCATATACACAGATTTTTGTACTGCAGAAGTCTTTAGTGCTGAAGGGAAAATCCTGGAAAAAAAAAAATCTGGGACAGCATGGCTGTCGGGACGAGTTTAGCGTTAGCATAGAACTTTCTAACATAGCACTATTTGGTTATGGACAGATAGACTAAGACTCTGATGTTAGAGGCTGACCAAACAGGCATATGAGGGAAAATGGAAGGGAACGTAGCTCTCTAAGTGATCGTGGCTAATCATATTAACTGGCCACCATTTATTGCCCAGCGTTAGCATGCTTTCAAAAGCAAGTAAAACCCCAGACACACAAGCCTAGAGACTTGTTTATGACAAGTTTCAGTTGAAGATTCTTACTGAGAACTTTAATATTAGACTTCCTACTTCAGCTATTTGTTGCAACTTGTCTTCTCTTCTTATGTGCCAGATGGTGGAGTTAAACTTCTCACCCATGGGGGCGGGCCTAAGTGCCTAAATGCACTGGTTTTGCGAAATCAGTGATAATAGCAAGTTTATTAATGCAGCACTTTTAAATTTTTGATTTAGACTGTGTTTCACATTGTTATTAGATTTCATTCATACTTGACGTTTACAGCTAGGGGGCGGGGTTTGGGAAGGGGCTTGTGGTAAGGTAGCACCATGAGTAAAGGTATGTGCACTTTTAGTCAGTACCTAGGAAGAAAAGTGGGCGTATACTGATGCAGGACAAGGAGATTCACCTCTTGAGCTGTGCGGTGTATGGAGCACAGAGGCTGTAGCTAGCTTACCGGAGATTTCGCTTTTGGCTGTTACAGCGTAATAACAAGAGAGATCGTATGAGACTTTAAGTTACGTTTTGAGACCCCTCTGCGCTTTGGAGACCTCTGCTGTACCGTCGCTCGAGGCGCGCTGACGTCGCCGCCCGGCGTGACGTGTGTTCCTGTGACGCGCAGAAATTTTAAACTCTCGTCCTTCTCAGTGATGGCGGCTTCGTTTCGCTCTCTCCCCGCAAGCAGTAACAACAAATGGTACTTCACCCGGCAGCAGATCGACAACAGCCCATCTCGGCGAGCTGGACTTGATCCCGACAAGGAGCTCTCATACAGACAACAGGCGGCGAACCTCCTCCAGGACATGGGACAGCGGCTCAATGTGTATCCTTTTGTCGTGAGCTCTTGTTAGCGCTCTAACTTTAGCTTCTCTCCCGAGCCGGCTCGGAGAAGGAGTGTGGCTGGTGTTTGTTAGTTTGTTGTTGTCTTTTGTTCGACGGTTTCACGTTTGTTTTTGTCTTCCACTTCTGTTTAACGCTGTGGAATTTGGTTTTACAAGGTGTACGTGAGCTTACAAGCGTTACGCGATAGCGGCGTAGTGGGCTAACCCTTGGGCCGCAGAGGCCTGTGTAGTCGGCGGCCTCCAGGACGTTAGCATGTTAGCGTTAGCTTCACCACTGGTAAATATCAACGAATAAACGCAAATTAGAAGGACAATGGGCCACGTTTAGACATATAGTAATGTAGAATGTTTCAGAAAAAGTGTTTTAGATGTGTTAGTTTTCGAAAACATCGCTTTGTGTGTTATCAAGAGTCTTATCCCAGCTAGCCGGTGGCTAAAGTGTTGTTTAACTTTGTTATTCTGTGGCTGCTACGATAACAGGCTTATCAACATTAACTTTTATACTTAATTAGCAATATTAAACCTATAGTTATCCTTATAACTATTTTATAATTATTTTATTTCACACGTATACCGACGATTCCAGCCCATTTTCAAAGTATGCAGTCATTACAGATGTTATGTAATTTGCTCCCACTGTTTACCTTTTTTCCTTAACTGCCATGTATCAGCTCTCAACTTACAATTAATACAGCCATTGTGTACATGCATCGCTTTTACATGATCCAGTCCTTCACCAGATTTCACAGAAATGTAAGTAATGCTTTTCTTGCTTGAATCATGGAAATGATTTTACTTAATGTGAATCATTTTTTTAAATCTCCACTGACCCTTTCCAGGTCATCGCACCTGCTGCTCTGTTCCTGGCAGCAAAGGTAGAGGAGCAGCCTCGAAAGCTGGAGCATGTCATCAAGGTGGCCCATGCCTGCCTCAATCCCCAGGACCCTTCACCAGATATTCGCAGTGATGTAAGTATTGTACTGCAATTGTCCGAGGGAGGTTTTTTTTGAAGCAGAAATTTTTTTTCTTACAATAAGGCAAATGGCAATCTTCTTGCATGTAATCTGAGAACATTTACTCTGTCACGTATTTGTTCTGAGCTGTTAAGGCTGCTTGATTACATGGGTTGAGAGAGTAAAAGGCAAAATACATCTTAGCCTGTGTAGGTTTTGAGTCATGCAGGCAATGTGATGTCTAGCAGTTGTAAAACTCGAGCATCTGTACTTGCTATGTAGCTTTCACTTTTCATCACTTATATCTGAGGCTTCTTCAACAAACATGTATGCCAGAAAGCCTTTCAGACAAATGGTCAGAAATTCTCGGCCACATAACGTGTACAGTTGCTCTTGTTTTTCAACAATTGGCGGCCTCCCAGTGAGTAACGTGCCTGTCCTCTCAACCTCAGGCCTACCTGCAACAAGCCCAAGACCTGGTCATTCTTGAGAGCATAATTCTCCAGACCTTGGGTAAGTTTGGAAGGAAGAACTGGGTCCCTTGAATTCCCCCCCCAGAGAACAAGAATAGTTAACATGTTTTACTTCAATTCACAGTTTGCAGTAAGCAGCACTGGAAGTGATATTTATGCTTCAAAACTGAATCACCCACTTTTACATTTCCTGTTTCAGCTTTTTCATTTTTATCAGCCCTAACTTTTGACATTTTACCTTTTTCACCTATGTGTTTTTAAGACATTTAAAGAGGGAGCCTCAAAACTACTTTTTTCCCCTTCTTACATGCCATTAATTTTTTTTTTCATATTCAGGTGTTGACATTTTCATGTTGTCCAGGATGTTTTCCCATGAAAAGTGACACTCCACTCAACTCTGACTCCCCACCACTTGATTTTTAACACAATGCAAATTTTCTGGTTTTCAGCGGCTTTGTTAATGTTATCTTTGCCAGTGGGAAGTGGATTTGTATTCCATATGGATTATAAGTATACATTGATTTTGCATTTCTTTTATTAATGTCTACCTACATTTTCTTCTCTTTCTATTACAGCTTTTGAAATCACCATCGATCATCCTCATACACATGTTGTCAAATGCACTCAGCTTGTCAGGGGTGAGCATCATTTTTATGGTTTTGCTCAATTTTATCTTCAAGTTTTTGCTGTGTCTATAAATTTTTTTTCTCTTTGTTCTGCTGTTGTTCCAGCAAGCAAGGATTTGGCCCAAACATCATACTTTATGGCCACCAACAGGTATGCTCAGAGTTCACCCATAGTTCTCTCTCTCTCTCTGTCTCTCTCAAACATGCACGCGCACACACACACACACACACACACACACACACACACACACACACACACACACACAGGGTTGTGTCTTTCTTATGTGAATGCTAGGTATTCACCAAAGTTTGTGTGTGGTTTGTTAAAGCTCAATACACTGATTTTCTGTTTTCTCTTTCTCTGTTTGCTTTTTTTCTTGGACGTATCATGCCATATAGCCTGCACTTGACAACGTTCTGCCTGCAGTATAGTCCGCCTGTTGTAGCCTGTGTGTGCATCCACCTCGCCTGCAAATGGTCCAACTGGGAGATCCCCGTGTCTACAGATGGCAAACACTGGTGGGAGTATGTTGACCCTACAGTTACCCTCGAGCTGCTGGACGGTATGTGCAATAAATGCTCTTTAAGAAAAAAATGTTTAGATAATAAAAGGGCTGATTTGACTTGTTTGTTTGTTTTTTTCCTCCTCTTCCAGAACTTACACACGAGTTCCTGCAAATCCTGGAGAAAACACCCAGCCGACTGAAGCGAATTCGCAACTGGAAGGTACAACGCAAATTTAACTTCTCCTTTTTGCTATTAAAAATTCCCGATTCAATGTGGACATTGACTTAATTTTTTCTTCTTCCAGGCTGGCGGACAGACACCAAAAGCCAAGCCAAAAGTCCAGGAGGAGGGTGACCAGAGGGACACCATGATCAGCATGATTTCCATGGCTTCATCAGAGAGTACTGTGGCAGGCCTGATGAGCCTCTCTGCTCCACCTTCTGCCTCCTCTTCCTCATCAGTGGGCGACAAGGACACAAATGCTTCTGGCAGTGCTCAGACTTGGAGTGGTAAAGGTCAAGGTGGATCTGAGCAGCAGTCACAGCAACCACAGCAGCAGCCTAACCATGAGGTCCACGCCCCAGCTAAGGTGTCGCTGAGTGAGTACCGTGCCAAGAATGCTGACGTCCTGGCTGCCCAAAAGAGAAAGTTGGAGAACATGGAGGCCAGCGTAAAGAGAGATTATGCCAATGCAGCTCAGGCCCTCATTGGCCAGCAACAGAGGAAGGAGAAGCAGCAGCATCACCATCATCCACCCAGCGCTTCCTCTGACATGTCCAACCCATCACCCATTATTCTTAAAATCCCCTTGGAGAAGGAGAGGCATGACTCTCTAAAAATGCGCTTCCCAGTTGCTGGAGGATCAGGAGGAAGCAGTGGACACAGCAGCAGTGGTCGAGGCCAGGATCCAGACATCAAAGTCAAAATCCGAGTGCCTGACAAGCAGAGGGGGACTTCAGGAGAGGATGGCAAAAGCAGGGACAAGCACAGGGAGCGTTCTAACCACCACCACCATTATCATCACTCTCACCACCACCATTCCTCTTCCAGTAGTGCCTCACTTTCTTCTTCACACAAACATTCATCTAGTTCCAGCGGCACGCTGGGAAGCAGCAAAAAAGTACCAAGTGACTCCTCTAGAACAAGCTCCTCATCCTCGTCCTCATCCTCGTCTGCCTCACGCAAGAGGACACACTCCCAGGATCCTTCAGCAGGATCTCACCCACCCTCCAAAGTGAGCAAGTCTAGGAATCCCTACCAGTTACCTCCCCTGTCTTCCTCCTCCGGACAAATTTTGGGGCACGGTTCTGACATTCTTCCGTCTCTGGGACTCCCCCACCACCAAGGAAGCTATTCGCATTCCAAAAGCGACAAAACTGACACTAATGGTCACAGTTCAGCTGGCGGAGCCCAGTCCAACGAGTACCAGGACACTTTTGAGATGCTAAACTCACTGCTGAGTGCACAGGGTGTGCAGCCGTCCCAGCAGTCTATGTTTGACTACAGATCTCAGTATGGTGATTATCGGTACTCGAGCAGCTCCAGAGGAAACAACCCTAGGCCCCCTCCCCTGCCCACGGAGCCGCCTCCCCCACTGCCGCCTTTGCCCAAATAAGTTTCTAATCAGGAAACCACATTATGTACATTTTACTTGACATCTTGATCATCTTGTTACATAAAGTGTTGTATGATATTTTCCAGCCACCCAACATTTTATAGTCTTCAGTGTGACAGCAGAGAAATGTACTGGGGGTAACAAAGGATTTTATGGCGTACTCGTGGGGCAATAATGGGACTTGCAAAATGTGAGACAAGAAGAATCATGGGAAAGTGTAGATAGTGTTTTGTTTTTCTTTTTGAAAAATTCAAATGATATGTGACAAGAAGACGGGAATTAGAGGATGTCAATGTGTTTGGAAAAATTTCCATGACATACCTGGTTGGTCTTCTTACTGATTCTTTTTATAATGTTTTTATAGGGTGTTATTTATTGATCAAATGATTCTAAAAAAGAAAAAATGTCCCCTTTTTCTACCTTTTTTTAGGGTTAAACCTCTGTTCTTTTGGAACAGATGGTCATTTCTTTAAGACTGTACAGCCTAGTTAGAGTGCATGTCTCCAAAGCCATCTTTTCGATATATTTTTTACTTTATTTTATTTTTCCCATTTTTATTTTTTCTGTGAGCCATAAAATGGCTTCATCCCTTATGTATATGTTATATTTGCTGTGCTATTTGGTGATTTGAGGAAAAAATGTAAAAAAAAAATGTTTAAAACAAACATTGGAACCTTTATATTTGCAAATTTGCAAAAAAAAAAAAGGATGTAAATTAGGAAAAGCTTGTACTTTTCACTTTAAGTTTTTAAGTCTTGCAGTCATTGTTTTAAATGGTTGTAAAATATTCATATTTGGTTCTTGAATGGATACACTAAGTTCATGGCAAGAACATTCATCTGTTCACAAACGGTTGAAACATCTGTGCGCTTTGGTCACAATGAAGGAAATTCAACAAAAAGAGCATCTATCTAGACTATTTCTCTTTCCTTATTGTTTTTCCTCAGGAGTTCATTTTTTTGGGGTGATCACAGGTAAATGCAAAGACAAAGAAATAAGCATCATATATGGAAATGTATAATTTTCAGAAGACAAGAAATTATGTCAGGAAAAACTTCTTCCCAGATTTGCTAGACCCTAATAAGCACAGTATACAGAGTTTTAACACAGTATAAAAGTTAATAGCTCATCTGTTTTTATCTAATTGTGGGGATGTTTTAAAAGTGTAAACCCTAGTGTAGCTGTCACTTCACTCTGGTCTGATTTAATCATGTTAAACTTGTCTTTCGAGTGCATTCCTCTAAACTAAATTGGTGGATATTTAACTTTGGTTTGTTTTATTATCTGCCCACATGCCATCATTCATCATAAAAACATGTTTGCATGTTTTCTGTGGTTGTACAGAATCATATGTGACCAGCAGGTTATTTATATACCTCCACTTCTTGAGCATGAAGGCCAATACCCAGATTTTGTTGGCAAGATAAGCAGGTTATTGCCTATTCATAAAACTTAATTGTTTAGGATTAGTGCTCTTATTTTACAGTAATGTAGCACAGCAAATCAGCCGTCCAGCTGTATATTTTACCCCCTTCATATATTTGAAAATGTGCTTGAAAAGAGAAGCTTCTTGCTCATGCAGCAGAGGTTTTATTATTCTTGGTTGTAACAGGGAAACAGTAAATGCACTGAATATTTATCTCAGTAGGTTTGCCTACAATGCAATTGACAAAGTGTTACGTGTATAATGGTTAGACTAATAGATTTTCTGGTGTGAAATTGCCACTGTTTTTGAAACATTTTGTTTAATCTGGGCAAAGCTTCCATTTTAAGTATTACCATTTTGTTGTGAACAAGCCACAAAAAGGACACATTTCATATTAAAACCCATATGTAAGAAAAAAAGGACGACACTCATGCAACCTAACAATGCAAAAATCATATAGCTACAATAAATTTCATGTGTTTTCATGTCTTGGTGTTTTCAGTGACACTCAGGTCTGAAAAAGAAAAAGTTTTGAGATTTTTTTTTTTCCCCGTTTAAAATATGTGAACACTGTTCTTTTTTTTTATATAATGTGGTTGCTTTATTCTCAAAGTCAATAAAAATATTTTAAGAAAGTGCTGCTTTTGGCTCATCAATAACATTGCATTTTATAGGTGAATCAATCTATGCCAGGGGTGTCAAATGCGGTCTAGGAGCTTGATCTGCCCTGAAAGAAGATCGAGTTTTACCCATTATATTTTGCAAAAAAAATATGTTTGAGGGGTAATACAGGCATTGTAGAGCAACTGATGGAATTGCACTTACTCTACTTGATATATCATCATTTTGTAAATGCATGGTGTGTCAAAGTTTTACATTTGAATGTTTTCAAAATATACTGTTCTTTTCTTCTATTTTTAAAAGATAGGGGGTATTATCCAGTGGTATTGTAAGTGTAGCCCTCTTGAGGTCAAGTTGTGTTCTAAAGAGTTCGAGGCCCTGGTCTATGATAAAAGTGTAAATACATTGGGTGGATGCCACTTTGAATGGCAACTGGATTGGCCAATGGGCTACCTCACTCCGGCGCTCTGGCTAATCGGATCTCTAGGTGGGCGGGGTTACTTATTGTAAGCGGCGGCTGTGGCAGTTAACAGGGAATGCAGGAAAATCGACGTAACAGTGTTCTTCTGGAGCTCACGCTAGCTCGGATGTCCGAGACAAAGGTAGGGGGCCGCAAATAGAAATTAGCGATATGTTCATATTCTGGCATACAATCACGTTGGCGTGATGGAGGGATACGGCAATTTTGTGGCACCGACTTGCTATCTTCGCTGCAAAATGAGAACATTAGCATTTAGCTGCCGTTAGCAGCGATTGATCAAAGATGGCGACTGCCGTCTTAACTGTTAAAGTGACGCAGTAAGGAGAGGCGGGCTGAAGCTCGGTGTGGCGCCCGGTTAGAGTTTATCCATTAACGCAGAGAGGAGTTTGTCTCCTCGATTTATATTTAAATTAAAAAAAAAAATGCCATTCTCTCTTACATTAATGCGGCCTTTATTACTCTTTGTTACTTATTACAATTGCCTTTAGGTTGTATGCGTAACATTTATAAGCTTTTACTGATGTTAATAACGGCCATCTGACATCGCCCGTCAGTAAACCAATAACATGAAAACATTGTTTTAGTTTTATACAGCTTTATTTAGATTTAAGTACTCATAGTGATTTGGTCTATGACATCTTATGTGCATATTTTCAATATGCTTTTTTTTTCCCTATTTTGGTTATATTTGGGATCAAAAGGCGAAAAACCACGAGTATCTATCCTGCCCATTTAAGTACACTGTAATTGTTCAGAAAACCATTTTAAACCTTTCTGACACGGTATGTTATCCTGCTGGAAGCCGCCATCAGAAGATGAGTGTTCTGGTCATAAAGGGTTGAACATTGTCAGAATCGGGTATGCTGTGGGATTTTAACAAAGTGTGGGTTGAACGACCATTACACCGGCACCACCAGCCTGAACTGGTCATACAACATAGGATGGAGCTTCATGTTGTTTACATCAGATCCTGTCCTTTCAGTATATATTAAATTGACATTGCTTTTCCAATCCCTTCCTGCTCGCTTTAGCTTACAGGAGTATCATCGTCCAGTCTTCTGCTACTATAGCCCATCTGGTTTAAGATTTGACGTGCTGTGGTCTTCTGCATACCTTGATTAAACAAGCGGTTATCTGAGTTTCTGTTGCCTTCCTATCGGCTCAGTGCAGTCTAGCCGTCCTCTTCTAATTTCTTTCTATTGACATGTTGCTGCTCACTAGACGTTTTCTCTTTTTCATACTGTTCTCTATAAACCCTAGAGTTGGATCTGTGTGACCCATCTTTTATCTCTAGATCAGCAGTTTCTGAAATACCAGCCTGTTGGTCACCAAAGTTAGTAGTTTGAATAAAAATACATTAAAGAGGCCAACATTATTCCAACATTCAAACAAATGTTTTTATAGGAATTCTTGCTGTTATTCATGCATGCAGCCATACAAACATTTAGTGTGAACAGGAAAAATGTATTTTTTTTTTTTTTTTTTGTTATTACATTTACATGCAGGCTTGAAATGAACAGGATACGGATTCATGTTTTGCCCTCAAGTCGGAACCGGGTGACCCAGACACCCCGACCTCAGGAGCCACAGGCCTGCTCCTTCACCCAGCGGCCCTGCTCTCAGCCACGACTTGAAGGCTTGGAATTCTGCATCAAACACATCTTGGAGGACAAGAATGCGCCTTACAAACAGTGCAGCTACGTCTCTGCCAAGAACGGGAAGCGGTGTCCCAATGCCGCACCAAAGGCAGAGAGGAAAGACGGGTGGGTGGAAGGTCTAAATCAGCCATTAACAATCGTTAAAACAAATTAAATCTCATCATTATCTGCTGTGAATCTCATTAATGGGAACTTAATCCCAAGAGAAGGGGGAATGTAAATAAACTCATCAGTACCATGCAGCCTCCTAATTTCAATTTGAATGTCTGTTCTGTAGAGTGACCTTCTGTGCGGAGCACGCTCGCAGGAATGCCATGGCTCTTCGAGCTCAAATGAGAAAGGCGTCTTCTGGTCCGTCACCGGAGGCCCTGCTGTCTCAACTTAGTGGGTACAGCCGAGCAGAGTCACACAGCCTTGATGGAGGACGCTCTGAAGCCAGCCGCATTCTAGGTAATGGCCACTTTTTGACCTGGAAATAGTAATTTGGGTGCATGTGGGTTAAGCTGATGTAGTTGTACAGACTGTTTGTTGTTTTATTAGTTTTATTGGTTGGGTTATTTGGTTCACTTGTGAAAAGATTAAAAAGTTTATAAGTTTCATTCATTAGTTGTAGAGCAGGGCGATATGACCAAAAATATTTATCACGATATACATTTGAAAATTTGAGATAACGATATAACTGACGATATAATTGACACTAGACAAAATACTTTACAACTCCACAACTTTGTTAGTGCAAAAAAACCCCAAAGCATCAATGTATTTTCACTTAAACAAGAAGCTGTGTTTTTTTATGTGCATTAAAGTTATATAAAAATTTAACAGTGCAAATGCAAATTCCTTGCTGACAGTTTAACCAAAAGGCATTTCCAGTGGAAACTGAGCAACATATCCTCAGCATAACCATGTATAATATCCACATTTATATGCCATAAAACTTAAAAAGAGGTTATACACACACAATGCGGTAATATTATGTTGAAGCACCGTACATATCACTCCGCGAGGCTCCTGTCTTCGATAGCCGTAATGCTCCGACAATCCATCAAGCGGTGCGGCTTCGTAGCTTAGCAAAGTCGTACTAAAACATTTGACAGATTTTCGAGCGCCGTGTATAGAGGTGGGAATCACCATACATCCCACAATACGATATTATCACAATATTTAACTCACGATACGATATTATTGCAATTTTTTAAATATTTTGCGATATTCAGATTCTGTACATAAAGGTAAACTTTATCAATATTCATTTTATCTAATATCAAAGTCTCGCACTCAGTCTTTCTCTCATTTCAGTCAGTTTTATTGTTGACAAACTGAACGGTTTGTATTACAGTCTAGTCCAACTTAACTGAATGCAACCATCTGGTACAATTATAGCTATTCTGAACTATGCAATATGAAAACTATGCAGCCCATTCAGCAACTGAAGAATTTGAAAGTAAATTAAAACAAAATATAATTTTACATTAAATAAAAAAGTTTTAAACTTAATTAAAATAAAACATGTCTTAAATTAAAATAAGTAAACTGTCATGTTTATTGCTGCCATAAAAAAAGTTAAACACATTTGGACAGTGTCAGGATTCTTGCTCAGAAAAAGGATCAACATGCTCTGAAGTCAGAGCATGTTCCAGTCCACAAAACCTTTTTGTAACAAAATATCGATTTCTGCTGTCCCTGTATCGATACATTATTAGCAAACAAAATATCACGATACTACACAGTATCGATTTTTCCCCCCACCCCTAGCCGTGTACCACATAAAATCGTTTCGAAGTCAGTAATCACAACCAGAATTCATAGATAAGGCACACGGGATTATAAGGGGCACTGTTGATTTTCAGAAAAATCAAAGGATTGATTTTAAGTGTGCCGTATTTTCCAAAAAACACTGTAATAACGATGGCCCGCTAGCATGCTCTACCAAAAGTCAGATAAAAATACCACTAATTCCTCCCTCTTCCTAGATGAGGACAGTTTGAGTGAGGAAGAGCAGGGGCCGTTGGTATTGGACCAGACGTGGAGAGGAGATCCGGACAGCGAGGCTGACAGCATCGATAGTGATCACGAGGATCCTCTGAAGTAAGCTCTTAAGATTTTCTTCTCAACCCACATTGTGTAGTTATGTAGTTTGAATAAGAATCTGTAGTTCAAGATAGAAGGCTTAGGCCATGTTCAGACTTGAAAATGCATTGCCCCCCCCCCCCCCCCTCCACACTGAGACGGCTGTATGGACAGCGAAAACAATGATGCATTTTAGTCATGTGATGCAGTCACGTGACCAGTTCAACTAAGATGGCGGCAACATTGTGCAGCAGTTGTTTTGTTAGCTCTCAATTTTGATAGCCCTATTGTACAGACTGATATTAATCTTCATACTCCAGATAAAACTCGACACCTTTCCTCAACATTTTGCTGCGACTTTTCAAAGAGCCGGAAAATAAATAAATGGCAGACGGAAGTGAAGCAGTTCAATCGTCTTACCGTATTTTCACGACTATAAGGCGCACATAAGTCTTAGATTTTCTTCAAAATGTGCGGCGCGCCCTATAGTGCAGTGCGCCCTGTGTGTGTTGTTGGTAAGGGGACGTAGTAGAGAACACCATGAGAACGCTAAAGGGGAAGTGTGGGCGTTGTTGTGTATAAAAGAACAGGTATGTGCGTTATGCAGAACATCGTTGTTTTAACAACCCTGAAAATGGCAAAGAGACACGCTTATGAAGCACAGTTTAAACTGAAGGCCATCAGCTACGCGGAGGAACATGGAAATCGAGCAGCGCGAGAGAATTTAAGATTAATGAATCGATGGTTCGCAAGTGGAGGAAGCTGGAAAACAAGCTCCGACAGGTCAAGAAACGCAGCTGAGTTTCCGCGGACATAAGGCGAGGTGGCCCGAGTTGGAGGAAAGACTCGAGCAGTGGATCATCGAGCAAAGAACGAGTGGGAGAAGCGTTTCGACGGTCACCATTAGACTAAAAGCATTAACGCTCATCAAATAAAAATTTAACATTTCCAAGGAGGTCCGTCTTGGTGCTTTCGTTTCATGAAACGGTGCCATTTTTCCATCCGGACCAGGACTACGGTAGCGCAGCAACTTCCAGCGGATTATAATGAAAAGCTGGCCATCTTCCGCTCCTACTGCAGCAAACACATCGCCGACAAACACATCCAGCCCAGCCACATCACTAACATGGACGAGGTGCCGCTCACTTTCAAAATCCCTGTGAGTCACACTGTGGAGAAGAAGGGGACCAGCACGGTAGCGATACGCACAACGGGGTACGAAAAGTCTTCTTTTACTGTTGTGCTTGGCTGCCATGCTAATAGACAGAAACTGCCGCCTATGGTGATTTTTAAGAGAAAGACTTTGCCTAAAGAGAAGTTTCCAGCAGGAGTCATCATTAAGGCAAATGAAAAGGGCTGGATGGATGAGAAAATGATGAAAGAGTGGCTGAGGGAGCTGTATGTAAGGAGTTTTTTCAACGTATCACCATCGCTGTTGATCTGTGACTCTATGCGTGCCCATCTCACAGCCGATGTGAAAAACAAGTGAAGCAAATGAACTCTGAGCTTGCTGTCATTCCGGGAGGCCTGACAAAGGAACTCCAACCTTTGTCAGGAACTCCCACGCCGCTGAGTGATGGATGACCGATGGAGACCACAGTTTCACTAAGAGTGGAAGGCAGCGCCGGGCGAGTTACGCCACAGTTTGCGAATGGATTGTAGATGCTTGGGCTAACATGTCTGCTGGCACTGTTGTTCGAGCTTTCGCAAAAGCCGGCATCATTTCCGAGGAGCCGCACGGCACGGAAAGTGACTGACAGTGAAGAAAGTGAACCTGGCATGTTTGATGGAGATTTAGTTCAATTCAGAAACAGAGGATGAGGACTTCGATGGGTTTGATTGATGACGATTACCGGTAAAATAAATGTGAATACCAAACTCAGTTTTGCTCCCGCTCTATTTTTAAATACGCACACTTGTGTGCTTGTGTCTGTTGTTGTTGTAAGGCGGACGTAGTAGAGGACACCATGAGAACGTTAAAGGGGGAAGTGTGGGCATAGATTGTATATAAAGCCCGCGCCCTATAATCAGGTGCGCCTTATGTGTGTGTTAAATACAGTAATGGCACAGATAACTGAGACTGCGCCTTTTAGTACAGTGCGTCTTATGGTCGTGAAAATACGGTACTTTTCACGCATGCGCAGTATAGGAGCGTAGTGTTGTCAGTGTGGATGAAAACGGTGGTGTGGACGCGCAGCATTTTTAGACAAAAACGCATTTTTCAATTTATGGGGATTAGTGCAGACGTAGCCTTAGCTCTTATCTGAATTAAAAAGCAGTTTCACTGGAATGTGAGCTACAGAGTTAAGTGTAATCACTTTAAGAAAATATGGAGTGCTTTGTAGCCTTTTATTTTAAAGATGTTCCCCAGGCTTCTGGTATTGGACATGCTTAAGAACAGGTTGTGGCAGCTCAAAGTAAAGCACGAGTTTAAGATTTCACTTCAGGCAATATGAAGTGAAGTAAAGCATACACAGCATAGACATATGCCATTTTGTAATGATCGACAGCCTTGAATTGGTATCTTTTAAACTGGGGCGTCGAGCTCATTTTTGTTTACTTCAAAGCACAACTATGAACAAGGGTTGGTAACTGGCAATTATTGTGCAGCACATCAATTTCATGCTTTGTTTTTGAATTATAAGTCATCCCTGTCGAATTGAAATGAATAAATGTCTTGTGGGTTCGAAGTGTTGTTTGTTGAAAATTTTGAATTTTCTACAATTTTCACACACCTAGTAAGGGGCAAGTTCTGCCCCCCCGGCCAAATATTTGCCAACCCTATATAAATAATGATTAAATTAGTTGGTTTTCTTTGATATAACATAAAAATTCTGAACAGAGTTTGATTTGCTTTTGCTTTTTACATTCTTTTTGCTAAAAACGTTGACAGAAAATTTAAAAAAAGTAAGTAGTTAATATGCAAACCTACAAAGGCTCGAATCGTGTTTATTGACAAGCTGTTAGTGATGACTCTGACTTAATAACTTAATACCTCTGACTTAATACCTGAGCTCATCATCCAGTGGCACAACATAATGTTGTATGTTGATTTAAGAATTACTTATCTTAGTCTTAAATTGTTAGATACTGAGTAGTTTAATGTTTTGAAACTCAATGGACGTTAGATTTTCAATGCTATGTGTTGGCAGACACGCAGGAGTGTACACTGCAGAAGAAGTGGCGCTAATCACTCGAGAAAAACTTATCAGACTCCAGTCCCTCTATATTGATCAGTTCAAACGCCTGCAGCACCTGCTGAAAGAGAAGAAGCGCAGATACCTGCACAACCGCAAAATGGAGCATGAAGCTATAGGTAATCATAGGACAAATTTATGCTTTTACTGCTCACTCCTCTTAATTCTGAGTGACACAAACCTTTTAATGTTGATTACAGGTACCAGCCTCCTGACAGGGCCTGAAGGTCTTTCCATGAAGGAGAGGGAGAACCTGAAGAAGCTTAAAGCTCTGCGTCGATACCGCCGCCGGTACGGGGTGGAGGCCCTGCTGCACCGGCAGCTGAGGGAAAGGAGGCAGGCTGTGACAGAAGGAGGCCCTCAGGTGCTAACTTGAATTGATACAGAGTTTAAAGAAATCTGTACATTTTCTTTACTTATATTCTCTGGCAGTCGTGTCATAGAGGGATAATTAAAAAAACGTCAACTGTTTATGATTACGTTTCACTTCATTATCTAATGTTTGTTTGTTATTTCGGTTGTAGCCACACACAAGAACAGTGAGTGAAAAATGCATCTCCTTCATGGAGGGAACCCGATGTACCAATCCCTGCCTGCCTATGGCCCGACACTGTGTCTCACGTATCCTCTGATGGCTTTAATAGTGTGACTAAATAATCACTGAATGAAAGATGATGGGTGGAATACTCATCATAGTATCACGTATGATATGAATTTTTCAAAACCAGCTTAACAGCGGTGAACAGACTGTCCTCTATTGCCAATTGGTGGGTTTAAATGTAAAATATATAGTGTATTGAGAGTGGGACTGTACCAACTGTACACATTTTCCACTCACAATGAATCAAATGACCAATGTACATTAATATAAGATCATGTTAAATGATGCACAGCCAGATTTAACAGGGCAAACATTGTAACACACAATTTTATATGATTTGTGAAATAAGCTATTGCTATTGTTGTTATACTAGTAACTACTCAGATACAAAATTTAATGCCAAAGGGCATATTGGGTGATGCTAGCTAGTGTAATATTCTCTTAACAGCTGGGAGCGGCTTTGTGGCTTCATTCAAGAATGGTTACCAGAGATAAAGAGTTGAGTGCAGCGATGCTCCACAGTGAAAAGAGGAGCTGTGTTTGAAGACGTGTCATGAAATGAGACTCTCTTTGCTTAATTTCCGCTCGTATTGCTTCTGTGCTGGACATTAACACTAGGCTGATCTCATTCAGCTCCTCATAATGCACCAGGAAAGGTTTGATGAGACAAAGGTAAGCTGTTAGCTAACAGGTGTTAGCTTTGACTAAGTTTGAATGGAGTGTGTTTTAAAGCTCTGTTCTGTTGAATGAATGAGCCAGATGTAGACTGATCTGCTCTCTGCTGATTTCTACACTCTTCAGTTACGTTTCTCATTTCCGCCCTCCTCCCCTTGGCCCCAATCAAGACCAGCAGCTTGTAGTAGCTGTTCGTTTCAACGGGAGCCTAGATAAACAGCTTCCTGTGGTCTGTTGATTTGTTTCCCAGAAAACAAAGGAGCTAATCAATTCAGTTGGAAGGAACAAAATCTTTCTTAACCTACTTTGACTAGCGTACCGTTTCATATTTTTCAGTCTTGCATTTTAGTTCTCACAGTGTGAGAATAACAATTTTTCCTTTATTGAATATTAAGAATTTTGTTCTTCCAATAGCCAGTTTAGTTTGATTGAACCCAGACATGAGAATTTTATCATTAACATGCTCTACAAAACCATAAAGGCATCACTTTAATGCAACAAGGACGTTTATCAAGCTTTCCAAATATTTCTAAGATATTTCTTGTTTGTTTGTTTTTTTTTGTTTTTTAATCAGGCAAAGGTTTTGAGAAATCCAGATGAATACAAACCATGATTTTTGAAGGCAGTTGTCTCACTGTCATATACTTACAATGAAATGGTGTTAGAGAATGAAAATGGGCCGACTGTAGGTGCTGGATGCTGATGGGTGACATTTGAAAGCCAATTAGAAATTGGTGCAAGTGTTGGACAACAGAGGGCCTCCAGAGAAGCATCAGTGCAGCTTGCCATTAATTCTCCGCAACTCTTACCCTTTAATTAGTTTTTTGGTATTCTCTCTCTTTTCTTATCTTTTTTTTTTTTTTTTTTTCTCTTTTTGATAATCAAATTTTCCTTGACAGCCACATGTTCAGATATCTACCAGGACAGCAACCAGATCCTTTTTAAAATGTGTCCAGGGTTAAAAGATGTTCCATGTGATCGTACTGTGCACATGGGTCAGTCAGATGACCCCCGCTGCCCGCTGCACCTCACCCTGCCTCCGCCCATGTACCAGCCCGAGCAGGAGGCTCCGCCACAGGAGGAGTTCACCCCTATGAGCAAAGACATGTACCTGAGTGCGGCAGAGCTTCAGCCCACAGAAAACCTCCCTCTCGAGTTCAGCGATGTACGTAGAAATGACAGTCACCTACCAACCTCTTCTCTCTAATACACATATCACGTTCCACATAATTCCTCTTGTGAAAGATGAGTATCAGTCTGAATGCGTTTTTCAACAAGCTGTTGTAAAGTTTCCACCACAGCAGGGGATAGTGTGCCAAGTCATGCTGCTGTAGTATGTTTTTGTTTTTTTTGTTCTGGAGTAGAGTATTTTTTGGTTTAATGAGGTTGCTGGTCTTCACACTTATTTTAAATGCATTACTGAGCAGAAAAGTACAAACAAGAAAAGCTACAGAAAGTTACAAATTGCAGCAGACGAAAGGCTTTTACTTGAGCAAGTTATTTTTACAACTGAAGTTACCCAGTTATGTTTTCTTTATCATCTCTGTGTGGTGACACCTGTACTCTTCTCTGAGTGCTGACTGATCTTTCAGGGGAATGTTGCAGGGTTTGGTAACACCATAATGGCAAGCGTAAACTGATGTAATTGTGCGACAGTGTCACTGATGACCTGCAAATTGACAAGTGTGATCACTCTAAAAAATTTAAATTTTGGCAAGAGGCAGGGTACATCCTGGACAGGTCACCAGTCTGTCGCAGGGCTACCACAAAACCAAATGGTTGTCTGTATCTATGGGCAATTAAGAATCACCCCACTAACTGCATGTCTTTGGGCTGTGGGAGGAATCCAAAGGGAACACACAAAAACACGGGGAGAACATGCAAACTCCACACAGACACCTCCCTGGTCTGATATTTGAATTTAACTCAGGACAGAGTGCTAACCACTGTGTGACCGTGCGAGCCCACAAATTATCAATGGGGCAATATCTGTTTAATAATTTTAAAAAGAGTTAAAAAAAGAAAAAAGCTGAGTAAGTAAGTTGCTTTATGGTAGGAAACATTTTATGAGTTTTAACCCTTGGAAGAGCCTTAAAAATCCTAACACATTTTACCCTAATGACAAAAAAACTTCACCCCTCCAAAAAATACTGTAAAATTATTACATAGGAATATTTATTCCACTTTAATGACTATTATAAAACTACTTCAGTCTGAAATATGCATTTCAAATATTAATTATATTTAATTATATATTCTGGATTTTAACCCTTTAAAGGAGAGGGAGTCTGGCTCAAGTGGGGCAGAGGTTGCAAGTGGACAGACTGTTGCATGTGCAGCAGGTTACAATGATTCAGTAAAGCAGCATCTTAAATGCTGGTACGGTTTGCCCAATCAGGTTTTTCCTCACTTTGAATGGGCCGTTTGTGGGTTATTACCAACATAGGCACTGTTTGCCTGCATATAAAGGGACATATAAGCTTCTATGTTATCCTTCTGTTAACAGATCCATTAATATTGATCTCAGGTTGAGTCAAATGAAACAAATGGCTATGAAAGCAAGCTTAAAAAACAAATACACACGGGGGGATTTCTATAAATATACCATCAAAAATGCCTCCAATAGCAATTTTGAGCATCTCTGTTTTGCAGGACCTGGATGTGGAAGGGGACGGTATGCAGGGTCCTCCGTCCCCTCTGCAGTTTGACACAGCCCTGGCCCTGGAGGACCAAACCATCAGAGCCATAGCTGAGGCCCCGATGGACATCCTGACTGGCGAGGACCCAGACCAGGACCTTGACACCTCAGGGCAGGAACTCTCAGAGAGAGATGTGGACGCCATCATGAACAACCAGGTTAACTCTCAATCAGGGGTTTTGTCGTCGTGAATATCTTATTGTGGCAGGTAACATTGATGCACTCAATTCAAACTGTACTGTGTTGAAAACATTTTCAGGTTGATCACAGGAAAAAAAGAATTAAACTCAAAAAAGGTTAGGGTTGATTTTAGTTTATTAATGAATGAATGAATGAATTTGTTCTCTATCTCAGACGTACCTTTAGGAGCTTTTATTGAGGATGCAGTCTCCTTTATGAAATCTGTTTTATGTCCATCGTCTTCCTATGAGTGAACAGTGTTGAAGAAAAATAAATCATTTTTTGACATTAATTGACATGATTTGACTTAATTTATGAACACCTTTGAACAGATACAAAGGATACAAATAACAAATAATCATGATTACAGGTGTATTCTTTGGCATGTGTTGTGTCATAGCTGTATTTTCTTCAAAAGAGAGAGAGAGAGAAATTCACAAGTCTTAGAAAAATTAAAATATATCCATTAAAATCTTGCCTCAGCTAAGAAAGGGGGGGCATTCACCACAAAAAATAAACTTCGTATAAACAAACATGTAATAAACAGGCGTATTTGTGACTGCCCCCAAGTGGCTATAGACTGCTACAACATGTACATGTTGGTCTGCAAAGACCTTTAGACCTCTGCTGGTCACATTCAGTCTGTGAAGCTGTGGTTCACAAAGTGGCCCACAGACCATAACATTTACTTTACATACTAAGATGCAGCAGTCCAGGACAACACCAATAGCAAGTTTTCCAGTTTCAGTAGTACCTACCTCTAACATTTCCTGAGAGCAAATGTATTCAAGAATTATAGCTGCCATCTCACTAAAGAATAAACTATATAGAGGCAAAACAATTACAGTCCTTGGAACAGACTCATTACAGGCTTTACCTGCAGCTGGGTTTCTCCTGCTACAAAAAATGCCTTTGTGCAGTCACTACATGCCTAAGCTCAACTTATCTGCATACGGTGGAGGCAATGAGATTTGTGCATTTTCCATCAACACAAATGCACTTTCAGCTGGACTAAATTAAATCCTCCTAACTAAAACCTTTTTTCTAACACTTAAATTTTAAAACACAAAATTTCAGACCTTACCTCGTGTCAGACTGACTACTCAGTCTATCATAGACATGTTTGAAAATAAGAGCAGCATTTATAATATTTCCATATGCATCAGGTTAGGAATGTAACAGCCTCTCTGCAGGTTGCCCTGTGCTGCCAGGGAAGTTTGAGTTTTAATTATTAGTTTTTGCTTATTTTATTTGATGTTGTATTTCTTCTCTGCCCCTCAGTCTGTCACTCTAGATTTTGCAATCTGTCATCAAAACTTTGAAAGCTGTGGTGTAAAGAAAATATGAAGTGAGATGTTCAGTGGGGTTAAGAGAATCACTGAACCCTTTGAAAAGAAGCTTTTGTACCGTGCTGTCGGCCCTTTACACAAACGGATGATCTGAACTAGCAGTAAATGTGCTTTATCTTTGTTCTTCCACTCAGGTGGTGTCAGAGGCAGTCGGAGGTGAGGAAGACACGACTGACAATTCGCTCCAAGACATCCACTCTGCTGCAGCCGACGCTCCCAGATGAACCAGCATTTCAAAGAACTGTCACTGCTACTCGTTTATAATACAGCCCACATTAGGTATTAAAGTACTCAGCGGCTCCTACTGAGACTGAAAGCTGGAGTAGGCGACATGTTTTTGGAATCAATGGGCAGAAATTCCATAATAACCTTTCAGCATATTGTACTTCATGTGGGGAACTAGACTCCTGGTTTCATACTAAAGAAAATCCAGCCTGAAATGAGACGTCACCCAGTGTGAGGCCGTTTCAGGTGAGTCGTGTGAAGGTGCAGGGAAAGGTCAGCTGAGAGGGAAGCGTTTGGATCAGAAATGTCAGCTGGACATGTTAGAGGAATGCAGGGAGAAAACTGAAGTTTTGGGTAAAATGTTACACTGTGCAGTTTCAGTTATAAACATCATTGTAATGTGCCTCACTGTTTCTGCTCCTACTGCCTGGTTTGAAATAAAGATGAGGAAATAAATGGGGTTTTAGGTAACTTTGTTTCTGATCAGCATGTTTTCCACCACTGCAGCAGAAAACACATTTCCATAAAACTTTAAAGCAACTGGAAACTTTCTCCCATTATTACACTTTAACACATTCTGTTGTTGCATATGCCCTTGTAGCCAGTATTTACGAAAATACTTGATGTAATTTTTATTGTCTGCTAAGGTGGTTTTGTGTTTCAGTTTGTTTGATCGACCAGTCGTCTCATTTTATGCGGGACAGCAAACCTTTTCATCACCCACATTTATCTCCCACATTTTCATTGGTTGTAGTTGCAAATAAATAAAAAGTACAGGACGTGTGCTGATCTGCAAATGCTTCACTGCTTAAATTTATAGTTGATTCCTGCAGAAAAGCAGTTTATAGCTTCAGCTGTTACTGCGCGAGAAAAGGGAACCTTAAATGAATAAAGACAATATATGGTTATTAAACTTGTTTTATGCTTATGATCAACAAAAAACCTTTAACAGATGTAGTTTGTGCTTTCACACATTGTTAAGAAGCCTTCATCTGGCTTTAGATAACAGGAACCATTGGAAGGATTCTGTAATTTACTCCCTCTGTGAGTACTAAAGATTTGGTGCAGTTTAGTGCATGTTTGTCAAGTGTACATAAGGAAAATTTGGAGCTGAAGTCATTTCACACCCATATTTGTTTATTCTCCAGCTGTTCTTTTCCTCTGCATCTCCATTCAAACACCAGTAAACGCAGGCTGTATTGTAAAGTGTTCGAGCATGTTTCAGTTCCACATAGACTAGTCCAGATTTGCACTTAAGCCTGAGGTCACCTTCAGAAAAATAGCTGTTTAAGGCCTCTAGTCCAGTTTTAGCTCCATACACTCACCCTACCTCTTTTTGTCATGCGGTTGTATTATTTCTAGTTGTTTGGGTTAAATTGCCTTGAAGCCTGAGTGCTGTATCAGGTTTTCAGCTGTTTGTGTGTTGACTTTAAAAATGTCACTCTTTCAACCACAAATTATTTTTTGATGGATTTCTTGGTCGTGTCCATATCGGTGGTGCCTGCAGGAGTATTTTAAGGCACGGCAAACCACACATACGGGGCAGATTTTTTTTAAGTATATAGCGAAGTTATGTTTGGCAACGTGGGACAGCCTCCGAAAGAAGGGGAAAAAAAGTGGGGCGGGTAATGAAATTTCATACAATGACATCACTTTTCCTCCAACCCAAACACTTAAACGGCGAGGCAGAGGAGGAGAGCGGCCGCTGCTGGGGGAGCAGGACACCGCCGCAAAAATGAGCCCAAGGTAGAGATTTTAAAGAAAAGAAGAAAAAATAGTATATTTTTATCTTTACCGGACATGGCAACACAGCGGCAGTTTCCATCCAAATGAGGTGAGTTTTTAAAAAACGATAAAAACGCCGTTTCATGTGCTGAAATGCTCGGCTGGCCGATGGGTTCGCAGGAATACCGACACTGATCCGTTTGCATGCGCTTCATTGTTTTAACATCACCGGGCATGTAAAGGTTGCGCCGATTCACAGCTGAAAATGTTGATTTGCTGCTGCGGGCTGCTTCAGCCTTAAACGCTGCGGCGTTTTTCCTGCGTTTTCTTCGTTTGTGGGAGAAACGCAAGGGCGTAACAGCGCGCTTACCCGTGGCGGAGGGGACCCATTTCGGCGCAGGGTTTGGGTTTGAAGGGCCTGTCCCCAAGAAAAGGGGCCAATAAAGAAGGAAAAACCTGGAGGCTTCCCCAAGCTCAGATCTGGTTTGGTTCAGCTGCGTTACGCGGGAGCTGAAATACATCCTGTCGCCGTTTGAGCCTCGAAAACCTGAAAAGGGAACATGGAAAAGGAACTGTCATCCGAGTCCTGTAAGTGCGGCTCGTTTTTCATTTGTCATCTCGCAGCGATGCAGAGAAAAGGCAGTTTATAATGGAAATAAACTGCGCTTCATTAGTGTGGGCTTTGTCAGAGATTCAGGCTGTGAGTGGAGGCTGACGCTGCACAAACCAGGATTTTTAAATCAAGAATAAATCAGCCTCACAGTGATGTTCGTGAATGAATTAATGTGTCTGCAGCATGGATGCGAGGAGGGATGAGCCACCCTTTTTTATGTGAAGTTCAGATCATTTTTAAGGAGGAGAGCTGTTGGTTTGATTATTTTACCAGCCGAATTGAGCTCCAGTTCCTCTTAAAATGTGTCTTTCACCGTGCAGACTAGAGGAATTTTAACTTCAGCTGGTCTGCGCTGACCTCCAGTCTGAATTGATATGTGTGCATGTATGAATATGATGAGTTTGGAAAACCACCAGAGTCCCGCTTAACAACAGGATGCGCAATGCCAAGCAGTCAGTCTTTAATATGGAGATATTTTGTGTTCCACGGGTCATTTTATCATTTTTAAACACTTACCCAAAGTTCAGGACTCGCTGTGTCTAATTAAAAAATAATTAAATCATTTCTTTTACACCAGGGGTAAAAAAGACAATCCCCACATTTCAGTGATTGTAATCAGCCAACTAATCCTGGCAGATCTGCTTGTCTAGGAGAAGTCTGAAAATGTTTTGAGGAATTAAAAGTGATCATTTTCGGAATAAGTGCATTTAAAACAGGTTAAACATTGCAATAGTTGTGCTGATAAAATGAAAATGCAACCAAGCAGGTCATAAACTGCAGATATGAAAAGTCACACAGGGGTGGATAACCTTTCTCTAATTAACACATGAAACAAACAGAAATGCCATATTTTCATCAGATCTTCTGACGTTTGATGTTTGCCTGCTGCTTTCTGAATTACGGTAAACATGACATTCACAAAGCAGAAGTCGAACCTTCATGAATCTGCATTTGATTTTGCAGATTTGGTGAAAACTTTGTTTTGATCATTTTGTAGGACGGCTGGTCAGGCCTTGTTAGGCTATAGATAACAAGAACGGTGATGCTTTTTGTCTTTGTCTGTTTACAACTTTTAAAAAGAAAAATAATCTAGTCATCTGGAAAATATCATTGCCCTTGTTGGCTTTCATAATCCAACTGTCAACAAACTGATTTTCATCAACATGGCATTAAACCAGTGCAGGGTTTATTTTCATTACAACAGTTTTATTTAGAAAATATTAGAAAATGACGTAAAGCTGGCAACAGTAGCTGTCACTGTCACTCAAGGCTCATTTATAAACTCAGACTATATGTTAAAGCAGGACATAGCTTCCGTGTAATCTATACTACAGTTACAGTAGGGATAACGGTGGTTAGGGACCACGGCACAATCTTGCTGCCTTTGAAATGGTTGCTCCAAAGATGGGGACCAGGTCAGCGGCCCCTCGCATTCACTCGCCATCTTAAATAAAGCTCATTTTTTGAATAGAATGGGGACAAGTTTCAGTTGTGTGCAGTCTTTTAGTGATAGTACAGCAACTGACTGTGACAAAGCAGCAAAAATCACAAGTGTCTCCATCTGTCGAAATGTTGTCTACAAAGCTTCCAGGTGGCCTCTGTGCAACCAGCTGGTCAGTACAACTTCCTCCCTCTTCACAAGGTTGTTGCCACTCTAACGGCAACTTGTGGAGTGCCAATGACTGCAGTTCCTGAAATCACAATTTGAAGCTGCCTCTCAAAAATGCTCTCATGTTAAAACCTTATAGAAGAAATAAAGTTGGTCTCTATGGACAGTTTTTCGCACTTCGTAGCAACACCATGGGCTGAACTGTTTTATAACTTACCTGTATGGATACTGGAGTCTGGGGCGTGGCTCCTTGGAGATGACTGTGTCTGCTAGGTTTGTGCTCACATACATTGGAGCTCACTGTGATGCAAAACATCCTATAAGTTTGTGATTCGATTTAGGTGAGTGAAATTCTGGTATTTTATCAGTAGTTGGCAGGTATGTGAATGCAGCTAATATGAAATCAGTGGATGATGCCCCAGTGGGACACCTGGACTTTATCGGATGTATCGGTGAAGCTTCGAGTTTTGGCTGTCACTGTTTTAGCTTTATGGAACTAGACGTGATACATACATTGGGGCTACTTTTAGTGCTGTTTTTGGCTATAATGGGAACCATAATTTATAATATGAACATCATGTTGTTCTTTAAGACTAGAATCTAGCGACTAAGACCAGAAAAGTCTTTACTATTGAGATTCGTGGAAACCAAACAGACATGCAGTGATTTCTTGATTTCTTTTTGGGATTCTTATTAAGATTTCCTAAAGCCTGATGTGATGTCATTGAATTTTTTTCAATCACAAAAGACAAAGTAAAGTACAAACTGGAGAATTTTGGACCTTTTCTCTGCTGGCTATTAAAATATCTTTTCATATTGTTTTTCTCCTGTTTAAGTTCTGATAGTTCAACTCGTCAGTGAAAGCAACAGATTGCATGCATCCATGTCACCCAGCACAACAACAGCTTATCACCATCTGCTGGTTCATGTTAACAAAGCTGCATTTTACTAACTGTGATACCTTCCACATTTTCTGAATGGGGTGGATTGTTTCTTGTTTGTTTTCACCTTGTGGGGAATTTTATAGGTTATAAAACATGTGCCAGCAATCTTAACAAGTTGTAGGGCCGTTCTGCGATTACACGAGAGTTAAAACATCTTAGAAATTGCTGTGCAGCTATTAAAGAGTCCTCATTGTTGGAGGAAAAACATCAGTTTTAATGATCTGTGCCTGTTGGTTCAAGGCCAGATATACGCTCATGCTGTTTCCTTTGTCTCATCGTTTTCTGAAGAAGGACCAAGCTTTAGGTCAGAAGAAACGAGGACGCAAGCATTGTTTGAACCATGCTGAATTATAGGCTTGCAGAGATGGCTGGAATTCAGGCTGTAAAATATTAAAGTTTCACTGAAGATCTGCAATGAAACGCTCGATGAATCTTTTAGTGTTTGCAGGCTGCTTTTACCTGATTTTTGCTTTGAGAAGAAATGACGTACGCTCTGTTCCTCGTCCAGATTGTCTGCTTTTGTAATGATGTAGTTTGTTGTTTTTGGCAGTTGCAGACAAACACCATATATCATGTAAGAAATCCGCTCTGACCGCATGGCACAAAGGACCTAGAAACGGTTACATCATATTTTAAACACAGTGACTGATTAGTTCCCAGAAAAATTGTTTGAGACAAGGATTTGAGGTCACTCAGTTAAACCTTTTGATACTTTAAAGATGTATTTCTAAGAGCTCTTTGTGAACTTCAGAACATCTGCAGTGCGGTGCTGGGAAATCTTTCATTAATTGAAAGGTTACTTTGACTTGTACATAAACTGTATGTTGCCATGGTGACGTCAACCATTGCTTAGTGAAGCTCCATCTTGAAACCTTGACTTGAGCATTTTGACTGTCACCATATCAATATTTTTGAAATCGAAAGTGACAAGCAAAGGGTGGAGTGGGACTCCGCGTGCTTATAGGTATTATCATGTCATAACATATAACATCACATTCGACTCCTTTCTGACTCTAATGGGGAACAGACTTCATGAAATCCATCAGGAAAGTGTTTACTGAGGTCATAGAAGGCAGCAGAAGGGCTCATTTTCTCATAGACATGTTTTTGCAAGCAGAACCGTGGCCCCCTGCAGGTCATCACGAGGAATACAGATTTAAAACATCCATCTTTCATGTACAATCTATCAACGTCTACTAGCCATGTACTGTAAGCTTTGGCAAACCAACCACACCTGCAGAAGCTTGCCAAGACCAACAGAAAAGACAGAAACGCCTCGAGGAACACAACAAAGATCCCGAAGCCTCCAGATTCTCTAGATAACAATCGAATCAAGTATCTGCAGGATGAGACAAGCTCAAACCATGAGAGTCATCTGCCAGCGTCGCCATGCCAGGCACCAGAGAAGACTCCCAGAGGTCCCCGGTCCCTCAATGGACCGAGGGCATTACAAGAAAAGGCCTTTTTTTCATATTCGGTACATTTCAATAGATTCCCTCTCATATGAAAGCACATAGTTGTGATTGACATCTAGTCTTGTTTGAAAAATATTTCCAAAATAAAAGCTTTGGTAATGCTGTATGTGGAAAAGAGTTCACCAACATTTATTAACACTATTAGTTGTCAGTTCGATGCCGTTGCATGCGTTTTATTCATTCACTGGAATAATCAGATCAACCTTTCATGGTTGAAGTTGGCGTTCTGATTGGACCTCTACTGTACGTGAGAACAGCATGAACATCTGGATGTCTAAGGAGCGTTTTTTGTGGTTTTGACTATGGGAATAATGTTTGTTTGCAGGTTTTACCTGGTGAAGTTTACACTGGATCACATTTATGTTTGTTTTTCAGAACTATCTGACAGCGGTCGTCTTTGACTTTACAGATTTGTAGAGTAGCATCTAATCTCTCTGCACCTTCAAATGTTTAATGGTTTGACATCGAGGTCCATTACTGCCCCCACTGACTGTACAAGCCCATTAACTACTTATAGATGCTGCTAATTACAACAGAAAGCAACAGTCAGTAACCACTTGTCTGCTTTTTGTTGTTATTATTATTATTATTTAATAAATAGTCAAATATTTGAAAAACCACGACCATCCCTACAACACAGTATTAGATTTCTGTAGTTTCAGGTCATCATGGTGTCATCTGAAGCACCATTAGAGAACTCCCAGTATGGATTTTCCCTTTTTTCAGCTTAGGTGCTAAACATAAGTCTCATTATAGTAAGTGAATCTTTAAAAATCAATAAATATACACATATTTATCATAAAAATGTAACTGCAGGATACATCATGCCTCCTGCTTTCAAGCAAAGTCTATTCTTGCTGCTTTAATCTGAAGATTGCACCATAATTGCCTGCTGATGCCAAAAAGGCCTACTTGCAGGATCACAGGATCTTAAGTACAGATTTAAA